GCCAGTGTTGCTAGGCTCGGAGGATGCGCTTGCCGCAGTCCGATAACAGGCCCACAACCTTATCCTCGTGCAGTTTCACATTTTCGAAGTATTCTTGGCTTAATCGTGAAGTACTCAGTCGAGATTCATAGTTCATTGCAAAGAACTGTTTTCCACCGCACATCAGATTCCGAACAAGAACGGGTTGTTTCCATTGAATAAAAGAAGGCAAAGATGGGCAGACGGTTCTTCTGCGCCGCGATTTTCTGCGGCACCCATTATCGTGTTTTCCGGACATTTCAACTAACACTATGTGAATTGCAACCACAAATCATACTGCCTAATTCAGCGGCGGTCTCTGAACAATTCTAAGCAGATTTGATTCTATCGAATAATTCAGCTAATTTTTACCGACCTCTCTCACCACATTTGAGGCTCTCGCCATCCCTATACAAGATTTTTAACTATAGATGCACGGTACATTTTTCGGAAATGCATGATAAAATGAATGGTTTACGCCATGAGCTCCGCTCATTTCTATCCTACATCGAGTTATTTAGAGAAGAAAATTCTGCCTCTGCGGCTACTGGTATATCAAACTGAATTATTTTTTGTCAATTTTTCCAGCATTTCAAAGCAGATTCATATCAAAAGCACCGGAATTTTTTGTTCAGAAAACTTGCTCCTCGATTATGTCGTGGTTTTTCGGATCCCGTGATCCGTCGGAAAACCTCATCTTCGTCAATGTTCACTTCCCTGAGTCCAGATAGACACGAGAGCGGAACCATCGACTTCCTAAGTGAGTTTTGAATTTTCTGTACGAAAATAACAGCCAGAAAATAGTCACGTTTCAACGTTGTGAAACCTGCCTGACTTCAATTTCGATGTCATTGCAACATTCAACTTCAAAGGAAACAATTAGGAAATAATATTGAGAGGTACCCCCTGCTTCAGAAAACCAGAAGCGCGTCGAGTGCAGAACACACACCACAAGTGACGACGGCCTCCAAGTGAATCTTGTACTAATTCGTGTTGGTAGCTGATAATTGCTGAATGAGAGTTGTAATTAGTGACAACTAAAGAATACAACTGCAACTGGATAATTCTTTCATGATGACATTTCATTCTCAGAAAACATTTACATTTTGTAGAGGCCGTCGTCACTTGTGGAGTGTATTCTGCACTCGACGGGCTTTTGGTTTTCTGACGCGGAGTATACTCCTTCATTTGCTGCTGCGAAGCTGAAAATTTTACTCAGATTGAAAGAAGTGTCTGATGGGAAATTCGATCTTCATGATCATGATTAGAGTTCGTTGAGAAAAAGTAGCACTACTCAGCACCCTTCTAAATTTGATTACCTTATTCTTCGTCTATTTCGAACTGTGATCGGTCACCCGTATATTTGGCAATGGACCGTAGTGATGAGCAGATCGTACGGTACCGTATCTGTTGGCTTGATTTTCTTAATTCTGACAAAACTAACCGTCACTGTAGTCACCAAGTCTCAAGCGAAAGCTGTGGTACAGACCAGGATCAACCCTACGTTGTTACTAGTAACAACGGGGGGGTCGTACCTGGCTGAGTTTATAGGAGGGGGTCGTAAAATTTTTGAAAAAGTAACAACGATAGGAGCGACCCTGGTACAGAAATACAGAGAGCGTGTGGTCCGGGCGGCTGAGATCACGTATGTATGTACTTCTCAGGGATGGATGTTTCCTGTGATCTTAAAGGAGTTACGCAACAGTCTTAGAAAAACCGCCGTCGTAGTCAATGCGTTCACCGTGTCAAATGGAAATGTAATATCACAGGCAGAGGATTTCATTGCTACCACATAAAAATATTATAGTTATCCTGAACATGGACCTGGAATACACCCTTCCAGCAGCAGTAACAAAGACCACTTCTGGGTAGTGCTAACAACCTAATAGTGTTCCCTTCCACTCGGATCCCTTTCTCTTCAAAACAAATTTCGGAGGATGAGTGTAGAAGCTCGGTCCTGATTCGCCCCAACGCTACGATTGCAGCAAGTAGTGGATGCTGTGTATATAAGCTTGTAGTAGTAATTGTTCATTCTCAAGTGAGAACTTCACGGCCTTCAACTTTTGTGTGATTCTGACTGGTTGGGTGATTATTGTTCTGTTAGTGTATTGTTATATATGATCTGATGCGCGCGTAATGATGCCATTCCAAAACACTGTTACAATGCCACCGTGTTGTTTTTTTTTGCTCCACATCAGTGTTTGATGTCTGCATGGAAGTGAGCAGATAGAGTGCGACGAAGCCTTGTCACCAAAACAAGCCGTAGGGTTGGTAAACAAGTAAACAGCTTAGTGTAAACAGCTTAGTGATGTCATCAGAGTGTGTTGTTTTCGGCATCACCAGCAGCATTGTGTATAGTGTGCGCGTTCTTATCAGAAATTGATTTGTTTGTGCTCGCTCCATTGTTAGGTCTTAGCCGATTCAAATGATACTAAGGGATTCAGTGGTGAGCAGTGGCTAAAACATACGACCTACGACACTACACCTCTACTCGAGTTTTTGGCAATTCCGTCTGCTTTCAGTGGTATGCTTGGTAATGGCATTATTAGTGGGTGAATGTAGTGGCAGAGCGTTCACGGCAGGGGTAATACATACATATTATGGGCAGAAATGGTAGAATGATATCTGGTAATGAGGGTTGAGGTGTTTCGTCAGCTCAACCAACAGCAAGCAACGATATGAGAGGTATCGGCAGTGCACTGGATAGAAAAGTCAATATGGAAGCAGGTTCTGGTGCCGTCCTACGCGAAGCTGAACGTTTTGTCCACAATTCAATCCGTGCGGCCCCCAGTATCTACCAATGTGTGTATACGCAGGGAAATTGACTCCCTAACTTTATGCTGTTTACTCCAAAAATGGAGCAGTTCGCACTTCGAACAGTAGTGAGCAATCGAAGACTTATCCGATAGGGAAGAGGGCATGTTCAGAGCACCGGTGGACGGTAGACGGTACAGTAGACGAAAAATCGAGCAAGGACATAATTTTGCTCTTCGTTTCCAATAATATTTCGTAAAAAGTTTAGCCGATGACGTTCTTATCAATATCAGCGTTAACCGACTTACATATGCATATCTGCGTTGTAATCGGATAATGACGGAACTTCCTCTGACATCTTTCTCCTACATATTTTCGCAAGGTGACGTGTGGTAACCGTGAAAACGATAGTTAACAAGGGCATTTACTGTAGTACGGTATGGGTACGAAATGAAAGAAAAAGAGAAAAGCGAAAGAAAAGCGTAAAAAGACTTTATCGATCTTTCCACATCCATGGAAGACCATCGCTGATTATGGTAATTTGGATGATGGTGAAGTCGTGATCGACGGAGGGATCCCAGCTGAGATGTTTTCTTAATCGGGTGCTTAAAGGCAACCTCTGGGAAAAAATTGGTGATAAGAGTAGTGATGACTGAGCTGCAGAACGACCTGAAAGTGGAAAGGAAAGCAAGAGAAATCTTTGGGAACGCTGAAATTAAGGCCTTAACCTTCAATAAGGTCGGATGTGGTACGATGGCGAGACAGGGCGATCAAAGAAGACAAAACACGCGAGAGATCACGCCGTTCGAGAGAGCACGCTGATCTCGACATCGGGTGGGTGGGAAGCGTTGCAACGGGGGTCGATGGTTGCAGGCCCGTAAGGATTAGCGCCCTAACCGCGCAATTTTTGCGACGAAGCTGGAGTGATCTAGGTAGGTACGGACCTTACAATTTCCCTCGCGGTATCCTTCCTACAAGTCGGGCTAATCCCGGGGATGCCTTTAAGTGACATTTTCAAAATTTTTCTTCATATATAGCTTTAAAGCCCAGAGATTGCGGGATTGTACTAAACTTAACCTTATTATAATGGCACCGATACCGATTACTTCTTTTTCAGCTCTGCCACCGATTCCTGAAACTACTGCACCATCTTCGTCTTCATCAGATTACAAAGATGATGGTGATTAGATATCGGACCATTTATGTGGTCTAGGCTCTTACGAATTTAGGGAGTATTCATTTAATGAGACAGATAAATGATGATGAGACTCTTAAATTGTTAAGAAAAACTGAATGATTGACATGTGTCTATAATATCTGTACCACGCATTTTAGTAACATCCCTATTGTACTTTCCCTGTCGACGATCTCATTCAGTGGCCTTCGATGAAGACATATGAGCTTATTTGGATGCATAGATTTACACTACAGCACCATCGGTTTCGTTTCTCGGGTTAATAGTAATGGCCTTAGATATCTTGAAACGGGTTGATGATCATAGAATACTATTGTTGCCGCAACAGAAATAAATATTTCCAAAAGAATGCTATGTTCAAAATTATTCATTCATAATATTACAGTTCTTATCAAAAGATATAGAGAAACCAACCTCGAAGGCCGACTTTACAATGAAAATGGGGCCCGGACCGAAATTGAAACGCTTTTTTGCTCGTTAGCTTCCGTATTGGGGCGAGTCTCATCGACAACGACTGACATAATGCTCTGCTCTGCGTCTCTTCCGAACGGCTGGTAATCGCAGCCAGAGTACGATGGCGAGAGTGTGGTAGTGCGTGTAGCGTCTCGAGTGTCACTGGTACAGCCCCACCAGGCAGCTATAAGCATGCCCTTTGCTGCAAAATGCATCGCTCAACACCTCAAGAGGCTTGCCTGCCTCTCCACTGGTATTTTTTCTCTCCGACCACCCGACCTTACCCTGGAATCCTTCAAATTTACTGCTATCAGAAAAGTGGAGCTTACCCCCACCTGCCTACAACTGTGCCAAAGACCAAGAAATTTTCAAGTTCATTAACACATTCACGGGGTAGCAGCCATGGCTGCGTATGGGACGATAGCACATGACCTGCTGACTTGAATCTTCTCCAGATACTTCTAGACTCAGTGAAAAAATTAGGTACCGAATATTTACTATGAAGGACATTGTCCACTAACAGCTTACCTTCCTAGCTTCAGCTTTTAACTACACACGAAAGCATAGCGCATCTTAGGACAGGAATAGTCATTGCAAACCGGTCTACATTTAATCAGAGGCACAGACATTGCTCTTTAGGATCCTATGTTTTCGAGCCATAACGATGCAAGTGAAGAAGCCACTACTTGGGCGAATGGAATTTTCAAACCCTAGACGAAATGTTGAAAAAAAAACAGAAGCCTTCAAGTCCGTGACTTTTTGCTAGATTAAGTACACGTTTAAAGCACCAAGCTTGCAGTTTTTCGAATGAGGATGAAGGATAAAGCATTCGGTGTTGCCCTATCCCGTTCTGCGACGCGCCACGCATTCTACTTCTATTAAGGATCGTAGCGACATTTTGGAGATGGACGATTTGCAATTCGGCTCATACAATGATTTGCGGAGGTTCAGTGTTTTTTTTTCTTCCCATACACGTCCGTTCTCAATTAGCCGACCCCGAGAAAGGAAAGGTTTGGTTGACACAAACGACGCACTACCTAGGATTTTAATCCTCAGAGCGCGCATGGTATGCAGCGTCACTGCCACTGTACCACTCCCGCCTTTTCTCAAACATCACAATTTTCGTGAAATCAGTTTTGAAGAGAGTTGTGAAAATTTGAAGCTTGAATTTCGTTCTTCAGGAGAATAGTCGGCATAATCATATGTACAGTAGCGTTCAAAAGTCTTCGGTGAAATACTTCTTCGGCCGTAACTCTTTTTCTGCAGACAGCCAGTTCAAATTTCAATATGTTTTCAAGGCAAACCTTCTCCTCTGAATCAGCGTATTCCTGTCACATGGGAGAAAGGGTGAAGATTGAAAACATGATTTTACTGAAAGTTCCAAGCATGACCAAACTCGAAGTACATCTCATAATTGTAAAAAGCTTCAAAACAGTCGTCTGCATAAGGAATAACTTTGAGCAGA